ATAATACTCATTTTAGAATCTCATCATAACTACAGAATGAAGATAGGAATGCTGGGGAGCATGATCATCATAAGTCTACCATTAACAGACGTGGAATTCTTGGATGAAGAATGCGAAAAGTGGACTAGTTGTAATTTGCTACTGAGAATGGCAAGACTCACCGACGATACCGACTATGATGCCGGTGAAACGTCTGGGAATGTACCGAGTCCATGGTCCGACTCTGGAAATTATCATGCATACTATGGACTCCGGACAAGGTTCATTCCTCCAGGTTTTCCTGACAATCTGACCAAGTTGCTAAAGCAAGGTCAAACAACTACTATGGGTATTCTGTAGCTATCATATATAAACCTCAGATTTGTAATGACCCTGTCAACTTTGCATCAGTAACTTCCATGGTCTCCGAAAATCTATCAGCATATCTTTTCTCTCCAACTTAGATAAACTTTGGCCTTTAAACTATTGCAGGGGTCACTAGGGGTCATTCTTATCCGTGTTACCGGCTTATTCAAACCTGACATCCACTTCCGGACGTGAAGTAGACGTGCCAAGGCCGTGGGTAACGACGACAGTGAACCGCCTAAACCGTTAGTCGACCATATGAACTATATCTTGCTCCGTTCTTAAGAGTGGTATTTAGGCTTTATTTATTTGGACTGATTTTAATTCAGCTTCTTTATCCTTCTAAGAAAAAGTTAGGTTAAGTCTATGTCTTCATGTTGACACTTTTAAACTCTAGCCTGTGTTATCTCTCTCCACAGATGGTCGCCTTTAGACAGGCCATAGGTTTGCTATAATCTTGGAACACGTCCTGAGGAGTCGTTCGGATGTACAGATGGCACGCACTAGGCGACAGGACGAACTGGCAACACTTTATATGACATTCGCCACTTGTTTTGATTATATTATAAATGAGTGTATCCACGAATTTATGGTTTGATTTATATCCTTAATGAAGTCTTCGCGAGACAGACTCTAAAGCCGAATGCTTTACATTTGAATAGTCCAAATCAACATTTTTTGGTCTTATCGGGCCACTTTTGAGCCATGAAGCTGCCAGGTTCTTAAAATCTCGAATTTTTTTATTCAAATCTTCATTTGTGTTCTATTGGCCTAGCCAAACATTACCTCAAGTCTATGCAGCATATGCACTGAAGCGGCTGTTAGAAAATTGGATGCTTACTTAGACACCAAATACTAATAACTAATATTTTAAATATACCGAGATCGTTATGTTGCCTTTCCGTATTTGTGGCTAATAAACATCTTTAACCTACTTTCGCATTACTTAATCCGTTCTTCCGGCACTTTCGGGACGAAATTGAAACTTTTTATCTCGATTTACCAACATTTTCAAATCACTAATATTACCTGATTACAAGTATTTTTTAACAGCACATTAAAATTAAATTATTCTCATTGAACATCTCTGAATCTTGATAGGGGTTGTGTTGAGACCTCGGACAGATCAAAACTGCCACCAAATTGGATAGGAAATCGCTTTTTTCGGATGCATTGTTACTCACTATACTTGAAGATCTTTTGGACTCCTCATGAGTATATCGGGCACCACGATCGCGCTGAGTATTTTAGCTATCACAAAACTACTTATTCTTTAAGGGTTTATAATGGCTCATCACTATCTGCCATAGAAATATGGACTTTATCCAACAAATTTAGAAGAGAAAGGCAATCCTTTGAAGGTGTATTTATTTATTCATCTTATCGGTAAACTATTATCCATTCTGAAAGCAGACATCTATTTACGTGTGCACAATTTAATTAAACCGGACAATTATTTTTGATAATTACAACGGGCTACTCCATGCGGGTTGCAGACACCTGCATCTTTAATACAGATACAAGTAAAGTTTTTCTTTTCCTTTTAGCACAAAGAGGAAATTTCTTCACATTATGCAGCTTCCTAGCTCATTACCTCTTTTCTTCTATCCATAAATTGGATTTATTCTGTCTCAATGTGGATTATTCCCTTTGTCTGAGACGACCCTAAAATCTCGCTATATGGCTGTTTATTTTGTATTTTGGATTGTGAAATGACTGCTAAAAGATACTTTTGATGCTTTGATTATGTCTTCGATCTAAGGGCTCCTTCAAGTCAAGCATCTTTATAAAATTATAATCTTAGATTTCGTCCTAAGAACATACAATCGGAATTTGGGTGGGACATTGCTTGATTGTTTATTCTATGATTGACCCATTAGCCGCAAGTATGCCGAGGAGAAGCTCCAACTTGCCTTTTTTTAACCCTTTTTAGGCATATAATTTTTTTAATTTTCGTTTTATTCCTTGTTTCTTATTTAGGAACTCAATGTATTTGGTCGTAGTGTACGCTACATAAGTCTACCAGCTAATCTCAATGTGCACCAAGTCCTTCGGCAGCACTTTTGCCTTCAATCAACCCTCCGTCAATCGCCAAAGAAACTGGTTTCTACCAAAACGCTTGAAAGCCATGTTCTTCAACCTCAGTCCTCAAAACAAGCATCCTCTTCCTTCTCAATGTCATATTCCCCTTCTGCTTCGTTGTCCCACAGAAAATTATGGCAAGGAGCTTCTTCCAACCCCAAAGCTCATCCTCCGAAGTGTACACCTAGGCTCATGCCTCGTGACCAATTTGCGATATGTCGTCCACTACAGTCAATTCGTGACTCAGCGGTTACTCATGCATTCCATTCTTTTTCTTCTGCTTCTCGTCCTGCTCGTCCTGCTATTCCTTCTACCTCTCATCCTGCCTCCGTAACTAAATCTTCTATTTCTCTTCCTGAAACCCTTCCATCCCTTCCCATTCAGCCTGTATCTGTGTGCGCCCTTGAACCGCATACGAATTTCCCCCATACTGCTCCCATATCTGCTTCCGGGTCACTAGAGCGTTGCATATGGAGCAGTCAAATTGCGCCAAATGATAAGGATTCTCGTGTTTTAAATGAAAAATTACAGCATGAAGAGGGTGCCGGGCCTTCTGAGGAGTGCATCGCTTTTGAATCAGAACTTTATCGAGAAGTTGATGAGATGGACGATATTTCTATTTTTCGCGAGGAAGACGACAAAGAAAATCGACCCCATAACAGCGAAACTTTTGATCCATGGGCAAATCTTTTCTGAATACATTTTGTTATTTTATCTGGTTACTTTATATCGCAATCAGCCTCACTGGCCCAGAATTCGCTATTCGTAGTCTGGATGTATAAGCGTACACTGCTAGTTTTATTGTAGATACGAAGAGAAACTGGGTTTCGATAAATCTCTTGAGATGACATTGTTAGGGAGGAAGTCTCGTGGACGGCGTCAACATGAGTATCGTGTAAAAGCCCAACGGCTGCAGCATAACGAGATTTACCTGTCCTCATCTGGTGAGATCGACCGACGAATCTTTTCTTCATTCACTTTCATAAGAAATGAAAGTCCCCCCTAACATAGTTTTATTGTGCCCTATCGTGCGTGATTCTAATACTTTTTCAGAGGGTCGAATGGAACGAAAATGCATTTCACATTAGCTGTAAATAACAATGATATAAAAACTGGTATATATTGTGTATCCCAACAATCAAGGAAAAAACCACCTGCCACGCTAACAACAACAGATTTTAATTACTAGGATCTGCTTAATTATTATATATATATATATACGCTACACTCGCCTCAGGCCCTGCGGCTCTACATTACTTTATTACTAGCACAATAAAGCTTCTGACCATCAGTAACTCATGTAAGGTGAAAGCTCGGATATTCATAGGTTCTGAGACACTAAAAGCTTGTCTTCATCTGTTTTTATCGGTGTTAGGGGGACCTTCGTTTCGAATGAGAGTGCATGAAGAAGAGATTCATTGTTCGATCTCATCAGATGAGGACGGATGAAAATCGTACTGCTGTCGTTTGGCTTTTATACGATATTCATGTTGACGCAGTCTACGAGACTTCCTCCCTCGTTTCGGGTGAAAACGTGCTGAGCCTTCGTCCATCATATGATGGACATCATCAGAGCTGGGTGTTATTCTTGTAAGTGTCTCACGTTAGCACTGAAGCAAGAACACTATCTGGCTCTATCTTACTTCTTATATAGACTCAATCGAGTCAAAAAATTAAAAATTAAAAACCTAGATAGATCGATATAGAGTGATATGGTTAATTTTCTTTTCTACTGGTTCTGTTATTTTTGCTCGATTGTATGAGTATGTATGTTTGTGTGTGTTAGCATCTATATGCAATACGGTTCCTAAATCAGACTTGTCAAAGGTTAAACCTGTTCTGTTCCTCAAGATCTAATAACCCAAGAGAAAATCTTTGACTAAGACTGCCTAGGTCCGTAAATAAGTATGTTTGAAATAATGAAATGTCAGCTTGTCAGAATGATAGTCAAGTTACGGGATTGGGATATACAAATCAAAGCTTCTTTTCTTAAAGAAGTGCTTAGTCACCATAGTTCGCCCCTCGTAATTTGACGATTGATATTGGGGTTTTTCTAAAATCAGTCTTCATTATGTCATTGAATTCCAATTAACCTTGCCACATAAAAGTCTATCTTATCCTGGGTGGACTGCAGTTTTGACCTTGCCTCATCAGCACCCCAAGTGGGATAGAATACTTGGTCGTCAGTATCGTTGCGACGTTTACCACTCCTTTGCACGGCCACAGGTGCCAGTGAGCTAAGGGAAGATGCACCATTTAAGGCGAGCCATACCTCTTCTAAGTCACATCTACTGTAATATTGTTGATTTAGCAAAAATGTATTCGCCATTCTAATCGACTTTACTTATTTTGCTATATTTAGGGTTCGAAACTATCAGTAATTCTCGAATAATAATTTAGTTGCCCTCGATCTCTTGAAGTGGTTTAAAGATTGACTGAGATGGATTTCTTTGTCGAGATGGCAAGCATTCTATGCAGGCTATAACAATTCACTGAACCTCTTAAATACATGATGCTTTTGAGCGTACTCGCCTCAATCAATAATCACCTCATTTTCCTCTTTAAAAATGACTAGTGAAATGCAGTAAGTTATGCGGCAATTACTATTATGTCCGATTCCGGCAATGTTCAACCGCCTGTTCCCCTTTGTTCTCGCGACTCTGACAGCTATCGCGTGGTCACCCCAACTGACGGCAAGAAGCAGCTTTGCTTGCAATTGGCTGATATGGTCGCTGCCACTCCAGAAGCAGAGCTGCAGTCGCACGCGATAGATACAGAAGCTTTTGTGGATCTATTTTTGCGTTATATACAAAAGGATCATTTGTCGATGGAATGGAATGAAATAGGCAGGCCAAACAGTGAATTAGTGAGTTACCTGCATTCTGTGGTTTTATGGTTCTGCTGACTCGGTGCCTCGGGACCGCCCATGTTGAAAAGTCATTATTGCAAATTCTTTATAAATTCACTAGTGTCGCTTATTGTTCATACTTTTATTGACTGGCGTGTATTTACTTGAATAGGGGATCACCTTTGTTTATAGCATAACCTTACGTTCTATAGACTAGCAGACAAATTTACTTCATGAAAGCTTCCTAAGGTTGTTCTGAGGTTGGCGCAAATTTGGATACAGCTGGTGTATTATCGCAACCTGGGTATGCTTTAATGTAGTCTTTTATTGCCGACTCTACATTTTCAATTCAACCACACAATCTTGGTCTTCATATCAACAAAAGTGTCTCCAAAAGACTCTGGCGTTTTCTCTTTCCTCCCTTAAAGGCATAATCTTCTGTTAATTGGCTATCCTCTGACCTTCTTGCTGAATTCCGTTGAATAGGATTTAGTCTTGAGATTCATTTGATTCTTAGGTGCTTCTGACCTTAGAGGGGTCCATTACATGTTAATGACCAAAATGCGGCTTCGTATCTTGTATTCTCTTTCCGCTGATAGCCTACGATAGACAGACTGCAAATAGTGTTGGTTTGGCCTTGTTTTTGCAAC